GAGGCCCCGTCTGGGGAACAAAAGAGCCGGGGAGCGCTTTACGCGGCCGGACATTCCCGGCTGCGCGGCGGACGCGCCCCCTGCGCTTTGAACTGTGGCTGGAGCGCCCGGCGCCAGTCCCGGGCTGCAGCCGCGTGTCCCCTCCCTGCCGGCCAGCCCGGGATGTGGGGGCTGGGGGTGGGTCCGGGCTGCGGGGAAACACGCAAAGCTGCGGGATTTGCTCTGATTTCTGCTGTGCTCTCCTCCGAGTCTCTATCTTAGAGATAATTCCCTAAAAGCTACACAAAGTTGTCAAAGACTCAGCTTCCCATGGGTTTTTGGTCCTTCCGCTCAAAGAATGGATCGTTTAGCTGCAAGAGCGCCCTTTCTAGACTGAGGAGTTCTGGCGCTTAGGTAGATTGCCTGGGGAGAGCAGACCCAACAGGACAAGAGAACGCGGAAGTATCCCGAGCTCCGACCCGGGTTCTGCCTGCTCCAACCCCGGCAGTCGCTCTCGCCGAGCTCATCTATTAATAAGAGATGAAGACAATCGTATCTCTCCCGTTCACCCCCGGGGACCTTTAAACTGCACAGGCCCACACAAATGACCTGGTAACTGGAAAAACACGTTGAAAGTTAAAATTCCCAGTAACGTTTCTATGCCACAAAGAAGACCCTCAATGTTTCATGTCGGAGAACATACAAGGAGACAACAAGGGTCCCATGCGAGCATGTTACAGAAGGTAGGCATGTCTCTTAGCAGATACATATCCATGCTAGCCCTCAGAGATCTTGAATCTTGGCCACTCACTATTAAATGGTCTTCTGTTGAGCCCAGCATGCTGGGCTAGTCCATCAAAATTATCAAGCAGCTACTAAGTTCCAGGAGCTGGAGATTTAAAGGTGGCAGTCTATGCCTCACTCTGTTACTTGCTCTTCTGGCATTGGACTGGGATGGCAGAGGAATAACTAAGTCTCTCTTTTGATACTAACTCTGGAACTTGGGACCAGGAATTAACATTAAACATATGTAAAACTAATTTTGGTGCAGATGAGTAAAGAAGTGCAGGGCCTGGCGAGGTGGCTCAAGCCTGTAATCCCAGCACTTTGGGAGGCCGAGGTAGGAGGCTCACTTGAGCCCAGGAGTTTGAGACTAGCCTGGGCAACACAGTGAGACCCCTGTCTCTACAAAAAATAGAAAAATTAGGTGGATGTGGTGGTGCACCACCCCCCGGCCAGCAAAAAAAAAAAAAAAGAGGAAGAAGAAGTGCAGGCCTCCAGAAATCAGACTGCGTATAGTAGGACAAGTTCACTAATAATGGGGTTTGTACAGCCCAGGGACTCCTCACTCTGCACTAGCAACTGGAAGATGAGCCTGAGAAGCAGGACTTGAGGCATGTGAACACTGGGAGACAATGGAGAAATTCAAGGTCATTGTGCCAAAGTCCCAATTGCCTTTCACTGTGAGGAAGGGTGGGAGTGATGGGCCTCTTGCTGGCCACAAGAAAGGGAAGGAAGGAGGGGCCCTCCCTGGGCCTAAAGTCCTGGAACTCCCTCCTGCAGGGCTTGAATTCTCAGCAACCCCTTCTTGGCTTGTCCTGGACTCTGGAGAGGTCAAATTGTTGTCTCCAATTGCTGTCATTTTAAATTCATTTTGACAAGTGTTTAATTCTTCTTTATCACAACCTTTGGTCTGAGAGTGATATGCAAATAATGGCTATTCTGCTGAGTGCAAAATGTGCAGTATCTCTCTGTCTGATCTGTCAATTAACCTGGGCCTGGCCCACCCGTCACTTTGGGGGTGGTCCTGAGCAAGGCAGCCTCTGGCTCTTGGTTCCCTCCCATAGAAAAGCGCATTCTGGGTTCTGTGAAGATCTTAGCAGAGAGTAGCTATCAACTGTGATGCCGAGACGTATGTGGGACACAAGTGTGTAGTTCTGTGTGTTAAACTGTGTGCACATTGGAGTTAATGGACACAAGGGTGTTTGTGAAGGCGAGTGTGCACTCGTGGGTCTCTGAGCTTATAGACATGGTGCTTGTGTGTGTATGTGTGTGTGTGTGTGTGTATGTGTGTGTGTGTGTGAATGTGCAGCCATGAATAATTCTGGTGACCAGAGTTATACAGAACAGTTGTGGATCCCAAATCTCCAGAGTTTTTCCCTCTTCCTTGCACCCAAGAAAGTTCAGAAAAGTGTGCACCCAGACGGGAAGACATTCACAGAAAGCCTAAGCAAGGGCCATCGGAGAACGTACCTTTCCTGAGTTTAAGTCTTTTTCCTAAGCGCCTGTGGAGGGAGGAAGATGATTCAGTTCTTTCCCACAACCACCTGCCATCTACCCTCAAAAACCACCATTTCCCATCCTGGCAGGAAATGTACTCCCTAGGGCAGAAAGGCTGAGGAAATTCTAGTCATTGGCTCCAAAAGAGAATGCCACATTTCTGGAAAATAGTTTATTAATTCATTATAGGGACAGATACATGATCAATGCCTTAGCTTAACACTAAAGAATATCATATTTGTAAGAAGAAAAAATGCCGGAAAAATAATTAAATAGTACAGCATAAACTAAATACAGACAATTTGATTACACTTGTCATGCATCAAGAAAAGGAAGATTTTTAAAAGAGACTCCAAAAGCTTAAGGCATCAATGGTAGGTGACAAAGGGATTAATACCCTGTAAAAGGCCAATAGACTCTTTTCTAATAAAAATACTGCTACAAAGACACAAAGCTAACACTTCCAAATTACCCAGAGCCCAAATCATATATAATGCTAGTGAGTAATGGCCACTTTCTTATCAAGTGTGAGTTATAGGCAGATACCAGATTTATTACTTATTTGCTTTTGAGAAACAATTTTCCACCCAACCTAATGGGTTATAAATTGTCTCATTTGCAGCTATTTAATTTAAACCAGAACCTCAGTGCCTGTTAAACAAGAACATGAAAAATGACTATGTGGTATAATGCTAAGAGCCTACTGTTAAAACAGCCATTTAATTCAGGGCAGTTTTTTCTTAAAAAAAAAAAAAATCAAACTGGCAAAATAAAATGAGGCTTTTGACCTTCAGAGCAATGATGAAACATACACACTGGCATTAGCCACAGCAACGCTGAATGCTACAGAAATAGTAGGAGTGACAATTCTGTCTTTAACGAGATACAAAACCAACATTAATAATCTTTAGTGTTATTGCAGGCTGGCTGAAGGAGGGGAGGAGGTGGAAATGTAGGTGCGGATGTCAAACGTGAGTGACACCCGAGTATAATAAACACAGATGCTTTCAGGGCTTGAGGAAGCTGAAACTCTGCTCAGAGATATTTCACCATTTAAAAAAAAAAGGAAAGATGGACTGGTTATTTCTAATCTGGCCCAGAAGCCAGAGTTAACTCTTGACATGCCGATCAGTTAGAAAGATGCAATTAGGGAGCAAAGACCCCCACATTCTATGCTCCCGTGAGAGGGTTAAGGTGAAAAATCAGATAAATGACATTGTTTCCACTACACGGGAAATAGAAGTCAAGCTGACAGGTCAACAGAAAATGACTTCAGCATTCCGTTTAAAGAAAAAACAAAATGAGACGAGCCAACCACCCTTTTTCTGTGCAAAAACCTCCCTTCTAGCATCCCGGAGAATGGGATTCTTCTTACCCCACCCCAGATCAGGTCACATTCAAGGCCTGCAGGGGGGGAAGTGGCTTCCCTGACTGCCACTCCCCTTCTCCCCCTTTAGTTTCTGTTGGGAAGAAAGGTGTGAAATCACCTCCATCCAGCGAACCTGCCTCCCTGCAGAGAAGGGAGGGGATCATTTTATTCTGAGCCTCTGGGTCACAGTCCCCCTTTTTTTGTCTCAGAAATTCCCCTGTGTGACTTGGATTCATGACCTCCAAGGAGAACCCTCCCATCCCAATCCCAGGGAGACAGGTGCAGGGAAGCCAGAACCTGCACTGGGGGTGGGAAGTCTGCCTGGGGAGAAGGCGAGTGGCGGTGTGGAGAGATGAGGGGACAGGGGGGCGACAGCCAAGGTGAATGGTGGCGGACACAGGAGTGGCACGATGGCCTTGAAGCAGACATGAGGTAGTCACGTTGTTAGGGAAGGGTACGGAGATTGAACCCAGGCAGGGGAACAGAATGACACGGTCTGGGAGAAGCATGAGAGACAGCAGCGAAAGGGAGCCAGGAGAGAGGACAGGGAGAGTATCCGGAAGGGAGGGCACTAGAGCTGGGAGGGCAAGGCGGCTGGGCGACAGGCCACCAGAGTGGTGCAGGGCAAGGAAGGAGGGGAGAGCGAACTTCCTAAATGACAAAATGAAACACAGAGCTGCTCTGAGGGGAGCCAGGCTCCCCCTCGCAGTGTGGGCACCGGGGAGATGGGAGGTGACGCAGCTAAAGGGCCAGGCCTCTCGAGCCTGCTCACGCTCGACCCAGCCGGCCAGGAACACGGGCCGGGGCTGTCTGTCAGACAGGCACTGGAGACACTCTCAGAGTGTGTAATAAAAGGCTGGGCGACAGAGGTGCGGGCCCACAGAGCAGCTAGGGACTGACCACTCTGGGGCCCTGTCCTGACCTGGAGGATCCATTAGACCATAGTGACCAATGCCTGGGCCAAGGTTTCCCAGCTCACTAACCAGTACACACACGTGCTTCACATGTATATCACATGTAGCTGTGTCTCATGTCTCTCACGTGTCACGTATGTGTCGCAAAGAAGTATGGGGGGAGCGAATAATCCATTTCTTCCTCTCCCCCCAGCCAAAGCACCCTGGGAGGCTCCGAAGGGCTTGACGATGTATCTGCAGGCAGACATGTATACACGCGTGACCATGCATGTCACATCCTGGGATCCACACCGGCCCATCCCAAACCGTACCCTCTAGGGGTGCTAAGCAGAGGAGGAGACTGAGGCTCCGGGCAGGCCTGGGCTGGCTCCTAGAGGGCAGGGGGCTTGGGGTTGGCAGCTGCTTCCAGGGGCCTCCTCCAGAGCCTCACGGGGCTGGAGGTCTGGGTAGGAGCAGGAAGCACTGGCCGCCTCTGGCAGGCAGGTCAGTCTGTCTGGCCCAGTGGCTGCCTGCTCACACCCTCCCAGTTCCCTGTCCAGCCAGTCTGTCCCCGGCCCTGGATCCCCAACACTTGAGATGAGATCAGGAGCCCCGGAAGGCAGGGGATCCTCAGGCTCCAGGTCTTGGAGATGGAGGTCAGGGTTCCCTTTGGATGCACTAAAGTCAGAGTGGACAATGACTTCAGCCTCCACCTGGTTCCTGCAGGCTGGGGGTGGCTTCTTCCTCCCATTACCCTGCCCAGGGCAGAGAACACAAAGACAAGGTGACCATTACTGAGAGTGGGCATCAGAAGAATGACCAGCATCTGTGGGGTGGAGAGAAACTGACCCTCCGTCGGAGTATATATCACACGGGAGTCGGTAAAGGACACACAGGAACTGTCCTACCAGAGATGATGTTCAGACCCACGCGAAGGCAGGAAAAAATGGAATACAACCCATTTTGCCCTTGCCCAGGAGTTCCAGAAGCAGCAGACTCAGTCAGGGGCTCCATGAAGAGGAGGAAGGGCTGAATGTACTCAGGCCAGCCCCAGATCCACGGGAATTCTGCTGTGGCTCACTTAGGTCTGGGTAGGGGAGGGACTGTCCCCAACCCAGGTGAAACAGGGCCCTGCAAACTGGCCTGCCTTCCACCTTTTCAACCTTTGGAGGCTTCAGGGGTCTCCTGGCCAGGCTTCTAACCCCAGGGAAGTTACCATCGAGGGGTCTCCAGAGAATTCACTACTTTCTCTTCACAAGCGTGGGGACCCTTCCCTCCTGTCCCACCCCTTCCTCCCCGGACACTGACCTTTATGGCATCATACACGAGAGCCTGCAGCAACAGCGTCTGCCCAGTTCCAGCAGGGGGCAGCAGGGCCCGGGTCAGAGCGGGCCTGGGGCCTGCCTGGGGCAGCTCATAGCCTGCCCAGGTACCTGCCCAGCTCGGCCCTCCTGGCGGAGCCCAGGAGATCTGCAGAGGGGAAGGAAGGGGACACTGAGGAGCAAGACCAGGAATGGCTGGGAGAGGGAGGCATAAGGGAGAGAAGTGGCTGGGGCCCCTGGCTTTCTCCCTCCTGACCGTTTCCCCGCTAAACCCCGTCCTCAAGGCGCAGGGGAGAGGCCCAGAAAGGGCTGAGGGTCGGTGGGGGAGAATTGAGGATGCAGTCCCTCCTGCAGACGAGCCTGACACCAGGCTCGGCAAGGCCTGACGGTCCCGAGCCAGGTGGGCTCTCCTTCGCCACAGAGGCAGGCAGAGGGTGAGGCCAGGACTGGGCAGAGTCGGACGGGATGTGCGACCACTGCCGACACGGAGCGGCCTGTGCTGCGGGGGCCTCGCCTTCTCCCGGCTACCGCCAGGCTGACTCCTCTGCCAGGAACGGAGGCCCGCCTGCTTCCCTGCCCTGCCAGCCCTCTCATGGAGGGGGCGAGGGTACCTTCTCTTTGCAGCTGGCTCAGAAGGGGATGAGGTGGGGCAGCGCTCACGGTCACGCACTGTGCTCTGGCACCCCCTGGCGTCCTGCCTAGGGATGAGCCACAGAGTGAGCTCTGACTTACCTTCCTCTTGGAGTGACACCTGCCATCAGAAACACTGCCACCAATAAGGCTGTGTACTTCAGCCCTGTCCTCCATGTCTGAGGGCGGGGGAGACCAGTCCTGGGGACGGGGGTGTACAAGGGACTCCAGTTCATGGGCAGCTGGGGGGCTGGGAGGGCCAAGCCGGGCTCTGGAGTACAGCGCAGGGTTTCCAGTGGTGGCCGTAGAGGACAGGCCCGGGAGGGCTTCCCTAGAAGGGAAGATGGAAAACGAGGCACACCGGTCAACGAGTGGGGGTGGGGGCAGGACTAGGACCTAGTCCAGCCGGCGTCTCTGGGCAGGTTCCTGCCCATCCCCAGGACTTGGTTTCCCAGTCTGTGCAATGAGTGGGAAACTCTGCTATTGTTCAGAATGGCCCGCACTGTGAACGGAGCCTTCTTCCCTTGGCTCCAGGCATCTGAAGATTTGGGGTCCCCCCTTTCCAAGATGCTAGCAGCTACAGAGGAAGTGGGAGAAGGCAGCTCTGCCTGGCCTTGCTGAAGGGGGTGGGCTGGGGCTCCCCTAAATCCATCCCCCATTCTCATGAGTACATCATCCCGATGCCTTCATCCAAGAGTCCTACCAAGTCTTGGCCGCCTTCCCTGTTCTGCGGCCATTCTGCAGCCCTTCCTGGAAATCTCCCCTCTCTGAGGTCAGACTTGCTCCCCTGCCCACCTGTGGGGGCTGCGGCGCAGGCCGGCACACATGCAGGCCAGGAGGCAGAGGAGACCCAGGCAGACGCCCACGATGATGCCCGTGACTGAGTGCATGTCCAAGGAGTCTGGTGGAGGAGAGAGGGGACAGAGCAGGTCAAGGACAGAGAAAGGGCACGGGCGCCGTGTCATAGATCAGGACTCCTTGCAGCGTCCTTAGGAGCCCCCTGGCCTGAGTCTCACCTTTGGATCCCTACAAGCTTCTGGACAGGTGGGCCCTGTGACCTCACAGGGACTACTACTATCTCTCTCTCTGACTGTCCTCCCTACAACACATCTAGAAGTTACAGTCTCTCCTCATCAAACAGGTCTTTTGGTGAAACACGCCTCTTGCCTGCCTGCCATGTCTGGTTTCAGGGTGCGCAGCACGTGCAGCTGCAGGGGGCCCGTGCTCGGAAGGGCTCTGTGCTGGGTTTAATGCTCTGCTGTCGCCAGCTTGGGTTTAAGTGATCCTCCCGCCTCGGCCTCCCAAGTAGCTAGGACAACAGGCACGTGCTACCACGTCCGCTAATTTTTCTTACTTTTTGTAGAGACAGGATCTCACTATGTTGCCCAGGCTGGTCTTGAACTTCTGGCCTCAAGTGATCCTTCCGCCTCAGCCTCCCAAATCGCTGGGATTACAGGCATGAGTTCTTACCCATTTTTAAAATAAAGAGCCTAGCATTTTCATTCTGCACTGGGCCCTGCAAATTATATAGCCAGGGCTGCTGCCCCTCTTGGCCCCATAAAGCTCGTGACCTCACCAAGCCACTCCTCCCATCAGAGCAATCTCTCAGAGACTGGTCTCTAATGCAAGCCAGTCCCCCATGAATCTGAATCTGACCCCTCAGCCAAATCACCACTGAACCGCACTATTCCGCCTTCAAACTTCCCCCATCCCCACCAAACCAGGAGGGCAGCTGTGCAAAACAATGAAAGTGTAGCTGTGCCTACAGGCAGGGGTCTAGAAGTCAACCTCGGGGGCCTCTGGGGACCCAGGGGTGCCCCAGGATGGACCCCCCTCCTTCCTTGCTGCCCTCGTACCTGAGAGCTTCTCCTGAAGAGTGATCACATCCTGCAGGCGGGAGAAGGGTCCAGGCCCCACCTCTGTGCGCGCCCCCATCTTGAAGAAGTACCTAGTGTCGCTCTCCAGGCCGTGTACCTCAGCACTGAAGATGTTTCCTGGGGGTGAGGGAAGCAGGGACAGCAGGATGGTGCATAGGGTGGGGGTGGGGCGCAGGGGCAGGCAGGGTCACAGAACCGAGAGAGTCTGCTCCTCTCACGCAGGCAGTAGCTTCTGCCTGCTCCCCCCAGAAGCCCCTAGAACAAACCTCAGCACCACTCTCATTGCCAACCCAGCCACGGAGAGGCTGGAAGGGGGAAAGGCTGGGAAGCTCTTGCTCAGATGCCTGGGCAGGCCCCTCACCCTCTGTGGTGAGCAGGGTCCACTGGTGCTCGGGCTGGGTGTGGTTGTTGCTGTAGAGGATCAGATACTCCACGATCTCGCCATTGGGCTCCGAGGGGGGGCACCAGTGCAGCCGGACAGCGGACGGTGTCAGGGGGCTCAGGCGCAGGTCAGATGGGGGTGTTGAGGGCCCTGGGGTGCAAGGGAGGAGACGAGGAGAGACAGGGTCACCAAGAGACCCAGCTCTGGGGGCAGCTGGAAGACAGGGCATGAGGACATGGCCTTCCTTTTTCCTCCTTCACTGGAACAAACCACAAAGCAAAGATGAGGTCTGGTCTCCAGCTGGGGAATTTCTGGAAAACGGGAGTTGGGGGATCATGGTGGTTGCCACTATTCGTCCCCTCCCAGAAACTCTTCTGCACTCAGCTCTGCCCAAACCTTGGGGCTCTGAGGGATGTTCCAGAAAAGAGGGCCACTGGGGCAAGAAGGAGTTAGGCAAAAGACGGGTGGAGGGCAGGGGGGCCCGGGGCCACTCACGGTCAGGCAGGGTGGAGCGCTCCACCACAGAGCCGAAAGGCCCGTCCACGTCCACGCCGTGGGACTGTACCGCGAACTCGTATTTGGTGAATGGCTTCAGCCCGCCAATGAGGATGTCTTCTCCTGAACTACTGAGGCAAGAAACGTGACTAGTGCTCTCAGCACACTCTCCTAGCAGGGCAGATGCCTCTAAATCTACTCCCCAGCCCCCACCCTGAAAAGGGAAGCTGCTCCCTGGCATGGGCGCCACTGACATCACCCAGGGGACCTACAGAGAGGTGTGGATGTATGCTGCTCCACGTCCAATCTCCAAGTCAGGCCCCCTCCTCTAGGAAGCCTTCCTGGATTGATCCAAGTTATTCTCCACCCATGGAACCATCTCTGCTGCATCTTTTCCTGGGCTTAATATTGCCTTAGAGCAGTTGTATATATCAGCTCCCCAGGCTCTGTCTCCCCAATTGATGGGGGTGGAACATCTGAGGACAGTGGCAGAGCTCTCTTTCCCATCAGACTGGGAGCCCTCTGAGGTTGGAGAAACAGGTCTGTCCTGGGTCACGTTCTCCAAAGGTTGAGCACAGGGCTCTGTTGTGGGGGCTGGGCTCTCTTTTTCCACCTGCGACCATCTGGTAAGAGGTGGGCCCTGCGCAGACCCTCAGTGTGCCCCCAGAGTAGCAGGTGAGCCGTGACACGTTCCAGAATCCCAGGCTCGCTCTCCTCATCAGCACCTGCTGCCGTGCCCCCGCCCCCCCCCCGCTCTTCCTCCCCCGACAGCGACAGCGTCAGTCCTCTCCCCACCTGGTGTAGTAGGTGACCAGGGAGGCATTCCTGAGCCCCCAGGGGCTGAAGCGCACAGTGTAGTTGACAATCTTGACTGTGGTGAAGTCCGGCTTTTTCCACCGAAGCCAGATGGACGTGGAGCTGTTTGATTCCGCATGGACATGGGCTGGGGGCAAGGGTGGACCCCTCTGGATGGGCAGGTCTGGAAGGTGAAAGTTAGAGTGTGGGGAAGGGAAGGAGGACGCTCATTCCTTCATATGTACAGTGGTTTACGGTTCCCAGGGCTCTTTCTTTGACCCTCTCTTTTGATCTTGTGAGTTGGGTGGCATCATTCCCGCTTCGCAGATAAGGAAACTGAACCTCCAAGAATTTAAGTGATTTTTGCCAAGGCCATACCTATAGCAGACTGTGGTACACTAGGATGTAAGAATGCAACATAGAGAGAACCAGCAAATCATGGCAATTAAGAGCCCAGACTTTGGAACCAGGCTGTTTTGGTTCAAATTCCGGCTATGCAACTTACTAGCTGTGTGACCCTGGAAGAATTACTTAACCTCTCTGTGCCTTCATCCCCTATTCTGTAAGTGGAGCTGATGATCGTACCTACTTCATGGGGTTGTTAAGAGGATTAAATTAGTTATTATTTGTAAAGTAGATAGGAAAGTGTCTGGAATATAGTAAATACTATATGATGATAACTGTTTATTACATAAACATAAAATAAACTCCACGAGAGTAGGTACCTTATTTGTGTTGTCCACCACTAAATTCCCAGATCCCAGCTGGCACATAGTAGATACCCAGTAAAATATCTGCTGAATGAATAAATGAACGAACTGGAATTGAAGCCCAGGTTTCATGTCTTGTGGTGAGTGCTCTTTCCACATGGTTGAAAAGCAGTCTGGGAAGCATCACGATGGGCCACTGAGGTGCCCAACACAGGGCCACAAGGCAGTGGAAAGACTTTGGCCTGGGAGCCGGGAATACTGGTTCTAGTCTAGGCTCCGTGCGACCTTGGAGAAGTCCCTTTGCCCTCTGAGCCTCAGTTTCCCGGGAGGCCACACAGGGATACTCTCCCTGCCTAGAGGGATAATCTGATAGTGTGACGTAGGCAGGTGTTTTAAAAATTGTTTTAAGGCCAAACATGGGGTTAGGAGTTACTGATCAACCATGGGGTTGCTCCCTGTTCAAACTTTCTAAATTAGCACGGTTCATGGATGATGAAAATAAGGTAGCAAGCAGGCCTAACAGACAGTGCACGAACTAGAGCTTCTCTCTATGATACGGGGTGTCTGGAGCTAGAAGAAGGCCACCCCCCGACCCTAGGAGAATGGGTTTGGGGGTGAGCTGAGGCTACTAGGCTTCCTGCCCACCGGGCTAGCCCAGGGGAAAGGGAAAGGAGGCAGCTCACAGAGCCCTTAAGTGAGCCCTCCCCGCCTTCTTCCCCGGCCACCCTCACCTGGCGTGGGAGCCTTCTCTGTCTTGCCCTTCCACACGGCCGCGTAGCCATCCTCATGTTTGTTGAATGCCACAAGCTTCACCTCGTACAGCCGGCCAGGGACTGGGGAAGGTCACAGGGCTCAATGGCCAGAGGGACCTCTGGGGTCACTCTCCCATCACAAAGAGCGTTCCATCTCTCGCTCCTGTGCACAGCCCGTCGGTGCCCGCTGAAGCTATGTCCCTCTTTCTCCCTTCCCCAGCCCTCCTCACCTAGCTGGGTCAGCTCATACTGCTTCACTTTCTTCTTGAGCCGGACGGGGCCCACATCCCAAGCCTGGTCTCCACGGCCCCCTGGGGGGCGATCACCGTTGGCCTCCTCCTCGGCCCCCACTTCCCGCCAGTATAGTTTGTAGCCAGAGATCTGGGTAGGGTGAGGAGGCGGCTGCCAGGACACGACCAGGGACTCCATCCTTGCCTGCACCTTCAGCTCTGCAGGGGCAAAAGGGACTGGCGCAGGGGAGGATGGGAAAGGAGGAGGAAGAGAATGGGGGACGAGGAGAAGGAGGCGAGGAAAGGGAGCGGGGGCAGGGGCACGGGGAAGAAGCGGGAAGATGGCGTTCAGTGAGGGCCTTGCCGGCATTCTCCCGACGCCTCACCACTCAGCCACCACCCTGAGTGCCCGGCCTGGGCTCCATCTCGAGGTGAACTCACTACTCTGTAAGCACAGGGTGAGGGAAATGCAGAGGCATCTCCTGGGCATTTGCCAAAGGGTCAGCAAGGAGCACCTCCGGCACAGAGGTGGCCTCTGTAAATCTCCTGAAGGAACAAATGCAGGCGACATGTTGCTGAGGACAGGAAGGAGGGGTGCAGCCATCAGAGTGCGGAGCCCCACTTGGAGCCTGAGAGTGGAGGCTTCCTATGTGTCAGACACTGTTCTAAGCACTTTGTACATGTGCTATAACTTTATTCTCACGACCCTCTACAACGGTGAAAATACTACTGTTCTCATTTTACCGGTAAGAGAACTGAGGCTCAGAGCAGTTAAGCAATTTGCCCATTGTCATGCAGATAGTATGTGTGCCAGGGTTTGTCTACATTTAATCACTCTGATTGTTTGCTGCTGATTGGGTCTCTCAACAAAAACAACAATCGTCATCATTGAAACAGCTACTATTTTTTTTAAATAATTTTTTTTTTTTTTTTGCAATTTTTTTTAGAGATAGAGTCTCACTCTTTTGCCTAGGCTAGAGTGAGTGCCATGGCGTTAGCCTAGCTCACAGCAACCTCAAACTCCTGGGCTCAAGCGATCCTTCTGCCTCAGCCTCCCGAGTAGCTGGGACTACAGGCATGCGCCACCACACCCGGCTAATTTTTTTTTTCTATATATTTTTAGTAGTCCGATTAATTTCTTTCTAATTTTAGTAGAGACGGGGTCTCGCTCTTGCTCAGGCCGGTCTCGAACTCCTGAGCTCAAACAATCCGCCTGCCTCGGCCTCCCAGAGTGCTAGGATTACAGGTGTGAGCCACCGCGCCCAGCCTTTAAATAATTTTTTTAAAAAAATACGGAATGCTTCGCTAATTTGTGTGTCATCCTTGCGCAGGGGCCATGCTAATCTTCTCTGTATCGTTCCAATTTTAGTGTATGTGCTACCAAAGCCAGCACTACACAGCTACTATTTAAAGAGTTCTTATAATGTGCTAAGCACTTCACTTACAATACATTGTAATCCTCACAGCACCCCTCAGCAGTAAATGAAGCCTCAGATTTGTGAATGGTTGGTCCAAGGTCACACAGCAAATAAAAGGGACATCAGAGCCCAGCCCCTCACCTCTACTCCTGGGCCTCCCTTACCTCTCGAGCAGGGGAGCCATGAAGTCTCTGATGGAGGGGTGGGGGGACTGGGTTCCATGGACACATGTACCCCCACGCACATAGTGCCCGGCCTGCCTCCCCTGACCCCGTACCATGGCTCTGATTGTGCATACTGGGCGTCCGGTGCTGCATCCACTGGGAGGGGGCCCCGAAGCCGGCCCCTGTGCCAGCTGAAATCCGGACTCGGTACACCTTGTTTGGCTGAAGCAAGTTCAGCGTAAGCTGTGTCTCATTCCCTGGCACCTCGGTGGAGAAAATCTGATCTGCAGGGACAGCAAATATGGATTGCTGGGTGACCACCTGAGGACCATGGCCCCTAAATTCCCCTGCGCTGACTCTTCCACCTCAGATCCTGGTTCCTCAGTGCCCACGGGAGCCTGAGGCCCTCTCAGGACTGACCCCTCCGTGCCCGGGCAGACTCCGCGGCTCCAGGGTTGATGCTCGAGCCTCCACCCCTGGCTGATGCAGGCCATCGGCCCTGGCTTGTTGTGGGGAGAGTTACGGCATGCTCTGTCCCCCCTCACCCCGTCCCCATGAGCTGTCAATGACCAGGTGCAGGCACAAGGGGCTGGCCAAGAAGGCCATCGAGCGCCACTGGCTTCCAGAGCCCTGACAGCCACCACACCCACTTCCTTGCCCTTCCCTCCCTCTAGCCCTCACCCTGGCCACCCAGCCACTCTCCTGCCCCTAACTCTTTATCCCTTTCATGACCCCTCCCCCAGATGACCTACTTCTGCCCTAACACGCCTGCCCCAGTGTCCCACTCTCCCATTCCCGGGAGCACACCTTCTGCTAAGCACTTAGCATCCCTCCTCTGCTTTGTGAGCTGGAAGGGACTCCAGGGATTACCTAGGCTACCTGCCTCATTTCCCAGATAAGGAAACGGAGGCAGGGCCTCAATAGGGCCTCACATGCTGCAGCTGTAGAGGAAGTGGGGCTAGAAGCCAGGCCTCCCTCTGTCTCTCCCCAGCCCTTTGTCTTCCCTTTTCACTCCTGCTGCCCCTGGCCCCAGCCTGCACTGATCATCCCTGCCCCACCACTCAGCTCAACTTCCTGACTCCCCTATGCTGCTCAGGTCTCCAGCGGCTCTGACCAACCCTTCAGGCTGACCATTCCCAAGCATGCCTGCACCCTGCCCCCACTCACCTTCCTTTCCCAAACCATACTCTATCTTGTACTTCACCACCTGCCCATTGCTCAGGCCGGGGGGCAGGGGCAGCCACGCCACCCTGATGTCCGAGGGGTTGGGGCTGGACAGGGAAAGCTGGGGTGCTGCACTGGGGACTGAGACAGAAGAACATCAGCGTGAGCTCTGCTCCACCAACATGGAAGGTGAGGCTCAGGAGTGGTCTGAGACTTGCCCAGGTCACTGAGCAAGTCAGAAGCAGGCCAGGACCAGGATCTGAGGGAGAAAGGGAGCCTCTCAGGGGAGCCCCAAGATGGAAGATGAGGCGACATTTTTCCCACCCTGAAGCTGGAAAGTTTGGGGGCATAATCTTGCGATGAGTTAAGGTCACTGGTCCCTAACCCAACTGGATGGTATGTGGGTGTCAAGAAGAACTGCATGATATGGGGAATCACAAGACCTTGGCTCAAGTCTCAGCTGTACTACTGACCTTGGGCAAGTCACTCTCATTTTCTGGGCCTCAGTTCCCCAACTGTAAACTAGCGGAAAAAAACCCTGCCTATGCTCTTACAGGGCACAAAAGATGACATGAGGCAGGTAAAGGTGCCCTTACATTAGTAAAGACAAGGTCAGCTACTAGCCCCAGGGAGTTCTCTGGGCCCCAAGCTGCCCACTGCAGGTCCAGAGGCCCTACCATCATCCAGCGTGTGGACCAGTGCTGGCGTGGAGGTGCGGCTGGCCCCCAGCTGGGAGTAGGCCACCACGTAGAACTCATAATCCGTGTTGGGTTCCAGGTCCCGAACCTGTAGCTCGGTGGTGTCATTATTCACTGCAAACTGGTATTCCACATTGTCCATGCCTGGAGTGATAACACAGGGGACAAGGGGACTGTCACAGGGCCACCATCAGCACTGGCCAGTTGGAGTCTGTCTAGGAATCCTTCATATCTACCTGGTCTCTGAAATAGTCCATTTATAGCTAAATCATCCCTGATAATCTGAGCTGGAGAGTATAAATTCCTTAGGCTTCTCATGTCCCTGTATGAATTCCTCCATTGGTTAGGAAGTTCTTTCTGGTGTCTAACTGAAATTACTCCTGCTGCAGTTAGTTAATTGGGGCGGGAGGTGGCTCCAGAACCATCAAGGCATTTTCCCTGGAAGAAGCATCCTTTCCCTTCTTTCCCATAACCACCACCACCAAGGGGAAGGAAGCAGTGCCGCACACGTGGATTCTACACCACGCTGGAAACTAACCCCGTACCTGTGCGGGTCTCTGCCGTGGGCTCCTACCTCATCCCATCCCCAGAGGTACCCACCAGGCCACCCTTCAGTCATCCAGCCCGTACCCCTCCCCGCTGCGCCCTTCGTGGGCCTTTGCCAGGGCATCTGGGGCCCAGGGTGGACGTACCCCGTGCCTTCTGGTAGTGGAGGGAGAAGCCAATAATCTGCTCGCTGTGCAGCTCGGGCCGCTGCCAGGCCACCAACACAGCAGAGCTGCTCAGTGGCCTGGCCGTGACCTGCGTGGGGGCGCTGGGCAGCCCCTCGCGCACCACTACGGCCAGCGACGCGGCAGCACACGCGGTTCCCGCGCTGTTCTCAGCCACGCACTGGTAGTAGCCGGCGTCCTGCAGGCCGATCTGCGTGATCACCAGGCTGCCGCCGCCACCCTGGACCTTGACACGCCCGTTGGGCCGCAGAGGCGCCCCGTCGTGCAGCCAGCGCAGCGTCGGCCGAGGCTCCCCCGACGCGCGGCACACAAACCGCGCTGTGCTCGCCCGCGTCCGCGACAGCGCCTCGGGCGCCTGCGAGATGGCGGGAGCCGCTAGGGGCGGGAGGGGCGACGCTGACCGCGGGCTCCAGCCACTGGGGGCTCTGTCCCCTCCCCCAAATACCCCAACCCCATCCGTGCCCACCCCCGCTTCCAATCACTCCAACCCCCTGATTCACCCCTCCCCAAACTAGTTCAACGCACATCAGCCCCTTCCCCTCCCCCATCAACCCCAGCCCCACAGTGACCTTTCTCTCCCCCAGTCGTCCCCAGGCCTCCTCAGCCTCTTCCGGGTTCTAACCCCACCCCCATTTGCCCACCTCCTTCTCCCCTACCCTCAACGTCTCCACCCCTACCAGGTTTACGCTCTCCATTATGCCAACCCTGGGCAACCGTGTCCCCCAGTTTTCTCGGAACCACCCAGATCACTCCACTGTCTCCCCCAGTAACTTCAGTCCTACCTCTCCTCCCAGTTACCCACCCCTCCCCAGCCCCCCATCACCCAAGCCAGGCTAATCACCCCTCTCCTCCCACCTCTGACTCAACTCGCCCCCTCCATCCTCGGCTACCTCGCCTGTCCCTCCCATCCACCCGCCCTTCCGAGCACCCCTCCCGTAAGCTCGTCCTCCCGAGCTTTTCTTCCTCCGGGATCACGCCTCAGTCCCTCTAACACCCCCCCAGCCCCAGCTAACCCGCTCCGATCCGGTCTGCCCCACGCCTGCTCCCTCCAGCCTCGCCCCGCCTTACCCAGCACGCGGAGCTCGGCCGCCGCAGTGGCGAAGTCGCGCGTGCGGGGCTTGTTCGCGCGGCAGACGTAGACGCCCGAGTGCCGGGGGTGCGCGCTGGCGATCAGCAGGTTGGTGCGGCCCAGGACGATGACATCCGTGGAGATGGGCTTCCCGTCTAGGGAAGGAGAGGGAGTTGTGCTGGGGGGGACGCCAGGGCCTGTGCCCAGACCCACTCTCCGAATTTCAGAACCCTCTACACGCGAGTAAAGTGCGCACAACAGTCCCTGGCTGGAATCTCAGTTCCTCCTCGCGCCTGCACGATGACTCTCCGAGCCCTGGCGTCTCATCTGGAATGGGAGGAGGTCCCTACTGAAAGGGCTTCTGCCAAGCAGAGAGAGTAAGGCCTGCGAGAAGCCCTGGCACAGCGCAGGCGTACAACAGGTGCTCAGGACACTAGTCAGTTATTCATGTTACCGTTATTGGTTTTTTTTAATTTTTTTTTTTTTTTGGTGCCGTGACTTGGATTATTAAATTAATTTCTCTCAAGAAGGACACACCCCTTACCTATGGTCTCAGCGCAGTACTATGACGAAGATAGGGCTGGTAAGGTCTGACCAAACCAAAGATTTGAATATGCACAGAGACTTTTATCTTGATGTGAAATGAAAAACATTTTGAACGCCCTTGCCTTATGGACATGAACAGAAAATCCACAGAAGAAATGCAAATGGCTTAGAAATACAAAAAGCGTGTTCGACTTCGTGTAATCGAAGAAATGCACATCAAAATACAAATGTTAATTTTCACCGAGCAAACTGGGAATGTTTTTAAAAATAGTAAATTGCAATGCTGGACAGAGGGCCATAAAGGAGCTCTACGTAGACCTTGAAGCCAGGGATTCCACTTACGGGATTCTGTCCTGGGGAGATGGTCAGAAATACACACATGTATTTGTGGACAGGGCAGATCGCTGCAGTGTTAACTATAATAGTGGACAATTGGAAAGGACTCGGAAACTCAACAGTAGGAACTGGTGAATTACATTTTATAACAGTTATTAAATACATTCAAATGATGGAGCATTAGATAGTCATTAAAATCCTTTTTGAAAAACTTAAAGATGAGGAAATGTTTGTGATATACAGTTGAATGAAAATAGGACTTGGAACTATAAATACAGCATGCTTTCTCAGTTTCGGGAAAAGATGTACATATGCATAGAAAAAAAACCTGGAAGATAATATACTCATATGTTAATTTTTATCTCTGAGTGGTAGATGTTTTCTACTTCTGCTTTTTTCCTGGTTTTCTACAGTGAACATGTACTACATTTGCGGCCGGAAAACAAAACAAAACCCAAAATCCCATGCCGCTTCTCTGTCTTAATGGAGCAAATTCCCAGAAAGAGAGAGCAGTGCCTGGGGTCAGGAAAGAAGCTCCTTTCTAGACCTTGTCTTCCTAGGTGTCAGGATCCTCTGGGACTGTGATTCTCAAATCTTTATGCAGGGACCTTGTCACTACGTAGAGGCCCCGGGCAGGGCTCCATATTCTGCATTTCTAACTAGCCCTAGGTGGTAGATCCGAAGACCACACTTTCAGTAGCAAGGACCTGGGGCACTTGTTAAGCATTAAGACTCCTAGATCATGACTCTCCAGGGGTGAAGGCAGGGAGTCTGCAGCAATCTCCCTGAGTGATTCTGATGCATGGCTAGGAATTGAGAAGTATTGATTTATACAGAACTTCTGGGTGACAGCACAAGCTTACCCCGGTAGTATGAGGGTCCTGCTGGCCCCAGGACCAGCAGCTAGGCAGTGTCCCAAGTCCAGTGAGGAGGTCGTCAGAGAGGTTGATGAAGATACCAGCACTGTTTGATTTCCTCAGATCAGTAGTGGGTACATAGCTGTTCAGTGTATTATTTTTCTTTAAACTCTATATATTCATTATATACTCTTTTGAATGTGAGACATAAACAAAAAGGAGGAGGTATAGAGTAATAGAATGAGTCAGGGAAGAAGGGGTAAAGAGAGCTGGATTTAAGATTTACTTGTGCCATCAACTTGGGACAGGATACTTCTTACTGACAAATGGAAACAAAAATAGCCCTTGTTTCCTTTCTACAGGACTGTGGGGAGTGATATACCAGAAAGAGAACAGGTTCTAAAGCTTGGGTCCGGGCACGCCACCTGCCTCTCTGAGCCTCAGTTTCCTCATCTGCCCAGTGGAAATAATAGTTGTGGCCCCTCCTCTCCCGAAAGGGCTCTTGGAGAAGGGGTGTACTGCAAGTGACATTTGGCCCAGGTCTCTCATTACCCTGATAGCATCTCCAGTAACTCAGTCCTACTTGGCACTTCTCGCCTTGCAGCCTGATACTGTCAATCCTCTCTTCATGGGTGTATGTTTTCTCTCCCTCACACAGACAGTGAGTTCAGAGGGCTGGGTTCTTGCCTCTCTCATCTGTGTTGGTTGTTTGTTTGTTTTTCAGAGATGGGGGTCTAGCTCTGTTGTCCAGGCTGGAGTACAAGTGGCACGATCACAGCTCACTGCAGCATTGAACTCCTGGGCTCAAGGGATTCTCCTGCCTCAGCCTCCCAAGTAGCTGAGACTACAGGCATGCACCACCACACCCATCTAATTTTGTTTGTTTGTTTGTTTTAGGGAGAGATGGAGGTCTCACTATGTTGCCCAGGCTGGTCCTGAACTTCTGGGCTCCAACGATCCTCCTGCCTCAGTCTCCCGGGTGACTGGGATTGCAAGTATAAGCCACCCCGCCCGGCTCATCAGTGTGTTTTGTTCGCTGCGACCAGCAGGCAGCAGCACGCTGGGGTGTGCCAAGAGCCGGCTTTGTAGTTACCTGGACCAGCAGTAGGATCCTGGTTCCACCTGACTTGCTGGCTGTGTGGCCCCTTCCCAGGTCTCAAACACTCACTTACAATACAGTTGTGAGGAACAGAAATAAGTGGGGAACCTAGCCCAGTGCCGCTCTCAGTTGGGTTGTGATAACGGTTTTGTGAGTGGCAGCCCCAAAGTGCTTTGTAAAGGAAACATGCTACACTGACGGTTGATGGAGTTTGTCCAGGTTTCCCACGCAGCCTCCAACCTTGCTGCCCACAACACCTAGGCCTGGGATAGGCTCTGCCACACCAGCTTGGTGACCACCAACCATGCTCCCTGACTTGGGGGCATGTGAGATGCCACGCCTCCCTTCCCATGTCCTCCTCCTGCCCCTTCCTCTCCACTCACCCTGTCGGACCCAGGATACAAAAGGGGTGGGGTCAGCCGAGGCCACACATTCCATCACCACACTCTGGCCAGACACCACAGTGGTGTTCTCTGGGGCTGCCACGATGACCACGTCCTGCCCCCTGGCGGATGCCAGGGACCCTGGAGAGAAGACAGGCCCCAGGCAGCCTTACAATTCATCGTTGTCACACACAATACCTCACCTGATGCTCACAGTAACCTGGGGAGGTGGGTGCAGCTGGGAGCAGCAGTGGTTCCGTCTGACAGATGGGGAAAGTAGCCGTAAAGTTCAGCAGAGCTGGGACTGGACCTCAGAGCTCTTTCTCTTGGAGTCAGGAGAATGGCCTAGCCTCTTACTCAGCACCAGAGAAATGACTGGACAGACCCACGCCTACCCTGTTCTTCCCTCCCCAGTGCAACAACCCATCTTCTAGGCAGAGGACTGTCAGGGTCATGGATGGAGCACTGGACTTGGAGTCAACAGTCTTAATTTCTAGTTCCAGTACTGTCATTACCCATGCACTGTGTGACCCTAGGCAAAGCCCTTCCCCAATGGGCCCTGGGTTCCAGTGAGGAAGGCAGCTCCCTGAACCCTGATGCCCTGCCAAGTTCTTAGGGAGACCCTGGCCTTCAGGGCAGAATGGTGAATTCCTCCTTTGTCCAGCAGATGGAGGCAGAGATCCCAGGCACCGGCGGGCGAGGGACCCAGACTGGGAGTAGCCCACCAGCTTAGCCCAGGAGGAAGTCAGGGGCAGGGGCGCAGGTGGGGGGGCAGGTGCATGGCCAAGGGCAGAGAGGGAGGGGCTCTTGGGGAGCCTCGGAAGTGAGATCTGTGGAGCACTTGCCAGGTGCCAGGCACTTTCCATTCTTATCTCAGGGATGCATACAACCTCTCTGAGCTAGACATTTGATAAGGAGCCCAGGGTCACACAGGTGGTGAGCAGAGAAGCCAGGATTCAAAGCAGGTCTCTCCGACCCCAAAGCCTGTGCCCTTCCTACTCTATCACACTGGGGCAGGAGCTTTTCAAAGAAACGAGAGAAGGACAGGAGGCCTAGGTCACAGCAAACAGAGAGGGACGAATCTCCCAGTGCCTGGAGCTCTTGGGGCTCACAGAGGGGCAGGAAAGGGGTGGAGACCAGGGCTTCAGGGCATTGACACCCCTCCTCAGATGCCTCGCCTCTGCCTGTCCCCAGCCTTGGATGCACCATCCGACCCAAGGGAACGCAGACGCCACAGGAAGGGGGAACCCTGCACTAGGAGTCCAGAGTCTTACGTTCCAGCCCCAGTTCTATCCCCAATTTGCTGCGTGGTGGCACTGCCCTCTCTGGGATTCATTGCCTCACCTGTCCATGGGACTAACCCTGTCACCTGTCTGAAGATAGAGCCCCTCCCAGCCCTGAGGTGGCTGACTGCAGAAACCCCCACGTTCCCCCACCCAACCAGCCCGCTTACCTCTGAGGGCCACGCTGAGGAGGGCCTCCTGGCTGAAGCGCTGGCGGGCTGAGTTGGTGGCCACACAGCGGTAGGAGCCCCTGTCCCTCTCCTGAACATCCAGGATCTGAAGGACGCCATTGGGAAGAGTGATGAACCTTGGGAAGAGGAGAGAGGGCAACTGTGAGGTGGGCAGGGGGCCCACAGGGAGGGTGGCTCATCATAAAAGAAATGCAAATTAGAAGTATAAGGTAGCATTTTCACATATTAGAGCAGTGAAAATAAAAAGATTTAATAACACCCCGTGTGGATGAGGGAATGGGGGAAAGTCACTCCTGCCTTGTTGGTGGCCATGCCAATACCGTCCTTCCTGGGCAAGTTGGTGATATCTGAACGTCAAAACTACAGGGACCTTTTGACCCAGCCATGCTACTTCTAGGATTCTATCCCACAGATATTCTCAAACATGTGCACAAAATCATATGTCAAATGATACTCATTCCACCATTGTCTGTAATAGCAAGAAACTGGAAACAACTCAAGTGTCCATCTGTAGGGCAGGAACTGGCTAAATTGGTTTGGGAACGTTCACGTACTGGAACGCCAGGCAGCTGTTAAAAAGGAGTGTTCCACGTGTGCTGACAGAGCGTGATCTTCAAAATGTGTTTTGGTGCAAAACATGTGTATGGACATGTACATTTGTATGTTTGCATATGCACCGAATGTCCCTGGTAAGGATGGTTGTCTGTGGGGAGGGGGCCTGGGATCCTGGGAGCTAAGGATGGGAGGGTCTTTCTTTTTATTATATAGCCTTGTGTACCATTTAAATTTTTCTACCCCCTGCCTGTATTATTAATACATCCTTCCTCCCTTGATAAAATACCCTTTATGCAAGATGTCTGTGAATAATGGCAAATAAAACTACAAAAAGAAAAAAATACCCTTTATTCACACTATCTCCTCTGACCCCCCAAAAGATAGAGACACCTTCATTTTACTTGGAGACAAAACTGAGGCTTAGAGGGAGTAGGGTATTTTCCCAGGGCTCATAGATGGAGCATAGTTAAAACCTGGACCCAAGTCTTCTGGTGCCAAATGCCATGCTCATCCCACCTGCCTCTCTCAGCAGCCATTAGACGGCCCAGCATGCCATCTAATCATGCCATCTCCCAGTCCCCGCAGGCCCTGGTCAACACGTACATCACGTAGGAGGGGCATGATGGAAGAAGGTGGTATCCTCTGCTCTCTTGGTGGATGGGATAGAAAGATCCAGAGACCTTGCTTGAGAGACAGTGTAATCCAGGGCAGGGAGATCTCCACAGGGGCTGGGATGGTGGGGAGCAGAGCGGGCTTTGTCCCAAGCATAGAGTGAGTGGTTCCCCCTGAATCCCCCAAATGGGATCCCTGCCGGGTCAGCTCCAGGTTGAAAGTCCCAGTTTGTCAACAGCGCAAATGGTGCAGGCCTCTGGGGTACAGGCTGGGCCAGGGTCAGAGAGGGAATGGGGCAGCTATGTGCTTGGTGGGGATCCCTTAGCTCCTGCGGAAGTGGGATCTGACAAAATCTAAACATGGGAGAGGGGAAGTAGCTCAAGGGCTGAGGGAGGAAGGGTATTGGGAGAGAATTCTGGACATGGGCCCAGAAACCTGCTGTGGCCCAAAGACTTAGAGAAAAAAACATAAACCTGCATCGCTCCTTCCCTCATCCCTGTGGCAAACCCACCTCTGCCCCCAGCCTCTTGGCCTCAGGGCCAACAGCTGCCTACATAAGTGCTGGGGCAGAGGGGAGAAGGGGTCGGGGAGGCTAGGGGTAGTCGGAGGGAAAACCCAGGCCAGGACCCAGCCTGCTGCCGCGGAAAAATGGATGGAAAAGGACACGTGGGGAAGGACAAGCGGGACCCATCTAGGAAACAATCCCCTGCCCCCCAGGTCTGCTCCACCTAACAAGCTCTGGCCCCAAGACCCTCTTCCTCTGCCCTTCCTCCTTCAGTCTAGCTGGCTGTGCTGCCAGGAGCTGCCCACAATTCCTGACCCCAAAGTGCTCTGGTCTTTCCAGGGAAATAGGGCTCCAAGTACCCAAGAGCTAATGCCTCCTTTGACAAATAGCATTTCCTCAACTATGGGTGCCGAATGAAAGAACGAACACCTTTCCCCGGACACGGCGCTGTTGCTGCAGCAAACAGAGGTGAGGTGGAACCACTTCCAGGGTTCATCTAAAATCTTTTCTGTTTTATCAAAATGTGTTTTCAGAAGCTCTGTCCTTGGAAGGATGTCCAAGATATATTGGTTAGTGGGGGGAATAAAGTCACAAAACAGTGCTTATGAAGCAATTCTATTTTGGGAAAATAGATAAATGATAGGTTAGGATATGCACAGGAAAAGTCAAGGGTGGCCAGGCTTGCATAATTCACGAAGGTTTTCTCTGGGAGTGGGATTACTGAGGACTCATTTATTGTGCCTAGAAAAATTTTTTTACAGTGAATATGTATTGGTTTGGAAATACAAAATTTTTTTAATTTAGATTTTTAATAGTATATGCCCCTGTACACTTCGTTCTGTAACTCTGGGCTCTAACATAGAAGCCCTGTGGCATGGTAAAGAGAACCGGTTCCAATGTATGTGATTTTAGCAAGTGACATTACATATCTGGGCCACAGTTTTCTCATCTGAAAAATGGGTTAAATAATTCCTGTCCTGCCTACTTCACGACCCTGACCCTCTTCAGGTCTGATGAGCTCGCATTAGATAATGGACATAAACATATCTATGACTCCCAGGCTCAGAGTGGTGCAAACCATACACATATTTCAAAAGACTGGAAGGGAACACTCTAAATGTTAATAGCTATGTTCAGTTGGTAGGTGACCTTTCTACCCTTTCTGTAAAGTTGGTATATTTCACCGTTTTAAAATAAATTCAAATTTCAAATAAAAAAAGGCTACTTATAGAATGAAAAACAACCTCTATTCAAAAGGAAGGAGTTCTTTTTTTCCCAAGCCCCAAGCCTGAGTCTGCTGCCCCCACCGCCAAAAGTCCACTTGGGCCCAGGGATTCAAGAACACAGAAGAAATGAGATAGCTGCTCTGAACTTCCCAAGGACCATGTAGCCCCCATTCTAAGCCCTTGAGGGATCCACGCAGGGAAAGGGGACACTAACCGAGGGTCACATGAGGCTGACAGGCACAGTGGACACTGGGAGAGGGCAGGGCAGAAGACTGGATGAGGGAGCCCATGTTATTTAAGTCCATTAGTTACAAGTTTCTCAAAATGTGAGTGAATGGTGATAACAAAACGATTTCAAGTGGATCAGATATACATTTTTTTATTCTAGTAGTTCTAGTATGTTTATTTTTATGGCTATCTTCTATTTACGGCAAGTGTTGCTGGTTTTCCATTTCCACGTTCCCTTTTAATATGTGTTAATGTTACAAAAGAGCAAATTGATGTAAAGAAAAGTATTAAGTGATTGTGTAAAGGGTATAAGGATGGTCAAACTTATGAAGGTGGTTTGCGAATGCCTGGAATTTGGAAAACATTGTTCTCACTGGTTACTGGTTCCCATGGAAGAAAAATGATCCCCTAGGTTATCCCGTAGTATTAGAAATTAGTGTAAGTACCAGGGAATTGCCTTGGGGTCCAGTCTTCACCATTAGTTCCAAAATATGCACATACACCCTGACACAGTGTGTTTATTAACTGCACATGTGCACACACTACACCAAGGCATATGGTCTCCTTCAAACCACTGGGCTGAGCTTATGAATAGCATATTTGTACGTGTACTATATCTGGGCATGTGTAAAAATACATACCTTGGGCATAATCAAGTTGCTGTTTTAGACGTTTCTTTATTCCCCCCACACAATGTGCTGGGACATGTGAGCCTAGCTTATTTATAGATGAGGATCACTTTTCAGAGGACTTGGGGGCAAACACTCCCAGAGTCCAGGAACTGGCAGCTCTGGCCTCCTGGGTGAGGCCTTTGGTTTCACAGGATGACGCCTGAACTAGACATTGCGGGGGGAGGTCTGAACCCCACTGGTTTGCTAAGAAACTTTGGGGAAGAAACGTCTCTGCTCTGAGCCACAATTAGACTACAGATCTTTAAAACCTACCTGCAGCATAAACTTCTTCAGACTCTGCAGCTTCCCCACCCAACCATCAAATGACGCCTGTGTGTCATCCACACCAGGTCTCCAGAGTCTGATACTCTGAGTATTAGCTGTGTGACCTGGGGCAAGTTACTTCCATCTCTGATCCTCAGTTCCCTCATTTAACAATCCAGATAGTATTAATATCTACCACATTCATATGCACAGACCTGGAAGGATGTTTGTTTTGTGTGAAATGAAAAAAAAAATTAAAGTTGTAGTGTAATCTCATTTTTGTTTTGAACAAAAGATGATTGAACAAAAAACCCAGTATGAAAAATACAAGTCAAATTTTTAGAGAGAATATTTATAAATGTATAGGGAAAAAGAGCAGAAAGATAGATATCAAAGCTAACA